TCAAAACTAAATGCATACTGTGATGCAGACTATGCCAATTGTAACAAGACAAGACGCAGTACAACCGGATTTGTGATAATGTTAGCAGAAGGACCTGTGTCTTGGTGTTCAAAACGACAACCAATCGTTGCATTATCATCAACTGAAGCAGAGTATATTGCAGCAGCTGATTGCTGTAAGGAATGCTTATATTTAATGTCATTTTTAAATGAGTTGATTGGTTCTGAAGTTGAAATTACATTAAATGTTGATAACCAAAGCGCTATTCAGCTGATCAAAACAGGTTCATTCAATAAAAGATCCAAACACATTGATGTGAGATACTATTTTATTCATGAAAATTATAAAAAGGGTAAAATTAATATTAAATATTGTCCTACTGATAAACAGACTGCAGACATATTTACAAAACCATTGTTAAATAATAAATTTAATTTTCACGCTCAAAATATTGTCAACTAAATAAGTTCATGATATATGTATATAACTTAAGAAACATCTACTTAAAATTTGTATAATTTAAAATTTGATAGCATAGAATAACAAGTATTATTTAAATTGTAAACAATTTTAATAATAGGAGAAGGTGTTAGTGGGTACATCCCTATTAAGAAGCTGTATGTAGCACGACACTAGTATAAAAAAGGATATAGAAGAGTAGCGTCATAACACGATGGTCTCTAAGAAAATATAAAAACAGTAAAACCAGTAATGTCCAGTTAAATAAATAATATATATTAATAAAAGGTTTGTTTTCTCTCGTCTGAGCATCTCCACACCCTTCAATTTTTGGGCGTATTGTTTTTTTTTTGCCTACTCAAATTCAAATTCATGAAAATTCAAACCTATTTGCCTCCATATTAACTATGATAAGCTTAGGCCATTTTTGCACTGACGGCCTCAATTATACCTACCCTTAAATACTGACAGTGACAGTGGAAATCTTTTTTTTTTTCTTAAATATGGCGATCAAGCTTCATTCGGAAGCTTATTTTAGCCAGAGTCGAGTCAGCAAGTGGAAATCTTGTTCATCCTCGTTATGGTTTGACTCCGGCACGGTTTGTGCATTAGCCAACGTCAAGTACTTAATAAGATTTTTATAAGTCGCCGTTTTAATTATTTACAGTTTATGAATATTAAAAAAACGAAGGAAACTTCATCAATTGGCATGAAATTAAATGAAATGAGATGATATGATATGGGATGAAATTTAATCTCAGTAAAATGGTGGTCATTTACTGAAATTTTTTCAGTGGACTTTTTGGAGGATCCCGAGAAGTTACGTTCAGCGGCTTTGTTTCATTTTCACACATTCGTGCACTTTCACAGCTGATACATAAACATGATAAATAAACAGTTAACAAACCACCGTTATTACACTTTTAAACCTGAAGAAACACTAAATAGACAAAATAAAACAAATCACACACAACTTCACTCCTCGCGTTCCCGCCAAAAAGTCTAACTTCATCTTATTTCGCCTCATATCATTCATCATAATATCGAGGGTTGAAAGGCTATCTGGTTTAAGCCACATTTTTGCAACTTTACAGGAAAGCCGTTTAAAGCTTAAACATTTGGAAAATATATCATAAAAAAAAAGTTCTTCATCTATTTGAATGATTAAAAACATCGAACTGTTGATGCTGATAGCAAATAAAGCGGTCCTTTAATTACGAATATAAATGTCGCGTGTTAAGCCAAAAATGTCTATTAAACCAAATAAACTTAACTTCTAAATATAATAGAATAACTATGCGTTTATTAATTGAAGATTTTTATAAGCCCGACACTGGCAACAATGGCGTCGCAAGAAGGCAATTGCCACCATATTTTAAAAGTAATCTCGACACTGGCATCAATGGCGTCGCAAGAAGACAATTGCCATATTTAAAAAATAAGCCCGACACTGGCAACAATGGCGTCGCAAGAAGACAATTGTCGCCATATTTTAAAAATAATCTCGATAATGGCAACAATGGGGTCGCAGAAAAAATTGCCATATTTAAAAAAAAAAGGAGTAGAAAGGCGCGTACCTCACGTAGCCGTGTCGCGAGCAGACCGCCACCACCCTACCCCCCTCCCCGGGGACGAACACCAGGTCGGTCACCCAGACCGGCTGGCGTAGTTGGAGCCAATCGTGGGCCAAGTTCTTGGCAGAGAACGTTGGCTGGGACTCGCCGATGCGCCAAACTTTCAAATCGTTTTCTTCGCCGCCTGGAACACGCGCGAATGTACGACAAAACTTTTTTTTAAGGGATTTTATGACCTGGTAACTAAGACCTTTAAGTCATGTCTTATTTTAATTTATATTCTTATTTTTATGAAAAGCGATAATATGGAGTGAAATGAAGATGATTATTTTGAGACATTAATCAACTGGGATGAAACTAAATGAAGTGAGATGAGATGATATGAGATGAAATATAATCTCAGTAAAATGGCGGTCATTTACTGAAAAATTTTCAGTGGAGTTTTTGGAGGATCCCGAGAAGTTACGTCCAGCGGCTTTGTTTCATTTTTCCACATTTGTGCACTTTCACAGATACTAAATAGTTAATAAAACAAAGCCGTTGGACGTAACTTCTCGGAATCCTAGTAGTCGTCGTGGTCTAAAGGATAAGACGTCCGGTGCATTCGTATGTAGCGATGCACCGGTGTTCGAATCCCGCAGGCGGGTTTCAATGTTTCTAATGAAATACATACTTAACAAATGTTCACGATTGACTTCCACAATGAAGGATAGCATCGTGTGATAAAAATCAAACCCGCAAAATTGTAATTTACGTAATTAGTGGTAGTAGGACCTCTTGTGAGTCCGCGCGGGTAGGTACCACAGCCCTTCCTATTTCTGCCGTGAAGCAATAATGCGTTTCGGTTTGAAGGGCACGGCAGCCGTTGTAACTATACTGAGACCTTAGAACTTATATCTCAAGGTGGGTGCATTAACGTTGGAGATGTCTATGAGCTCCGGTAAATGTTTAACACCAGGTGGGCTGTGAGCGCGGCTACACATATAAGCAATAAAAAAAAATATGCCCTATCTTACTTGCTTTTTAGACTGGCCATTTTAATTTCGATTCGTATACACCATTTTTTGTTTTTACTCATAAGATCAAACCTAGATCTACCATTGCTTAATATAAATAACACAACAATGCTGTACACCTAATCTATACATATCAAATAAAATTGGAATGTCTGTTTGTAATATTGAAATAACCACTCTTTACTACATGCATATGAATATATATACGGTACATACACCAAGATAACATTTTTAACAATTTTTGTCTGTCTGTTTGTTCTGGTTAATCTCTGGATTGGCCTAATCGATTTTGACGGGACTTTCACTGATAGGTAGCTGTGATATAAGGAGTGACTTAGATAACTTTTTTGAGACTAGCTTCACCCCGCGGCGTCACCCGTGGTAAGGCAATAACCGCGGGTAACAAAGCGGGACTCAGTTAGTATATAATACAATCCCTCTCCATTGAACCTAAATACAAGACATACCTGTAGCAAATAATGTATCATCGCTGCAGACCCTCATCCTATCCAGCTTCCCGCCAGTGAAAATATCTTCATTCGCATCATCGCCCCATACTCTGACGGTGCCACTGGACACCGCCGATAACAATGTATTGTTCACTTTCCCCAGACCTACGACATGTCCTTCTGCATAGTCGGCTGTATAAATACACTTGTTTCCTTGTAAAGTGTGGTAAACTTGAATCTGGAAACGAAATGAAATGACAGTATAGAAAATACAGCTGCACTTATTATTCATTAATTATTATTTATTTATTAAGCTGCACAAACAAAGTGATCATCATATACAAAACATTTCTGCCATGAAACAGTAATGTGTTTCAGTTAGAAGGGTGGGGGGCACCTGTTGTAATTATACTTGAGACCTAAGAACTTATATCTCAAGGTGGGTGGCGCATTTACGTTATAGATGCCTATCAGCTCCAATAACCATTTAACAAAAGGTGGGCTGTAAACTCATCCACCCATCTAAGCAATAAAAAAATTAAAATTAAAGAATATTCTTTCGAAAAATTAAAATACATAAATTTAGTTATCCACGACCGTCCAAATTGTAAGGTATGAGAATCATCAGAAACAATATAATGATAAAGTTTTGAATACTAAAAAGTTTTATGTCTCACTACATCACTATACTCTCGGTAGAAGGACCATGACCATTCTTTTCAGTGATGAGTTTCATAATCCAGTCTCTCCTATTTTCCAGCTGTGCATCTTCTGCTTATGTTATCTACGACTCGCAGATACCAGAGAAGATACTATACCAAGTGTTTATTACCTGTTGGTTCTTCTTTCCAAGCAAAATTTCTGTTTGTTCTTTGTTACCCCATTCCATGCACGTTATACCTTCGCCTTTCTGTAAAGATTTAACGTCGACCAAGTTTTCTATGCATTTCTTGTTGTTTTTCGTGTTGTCCGTGTAATATTTTACATCTATCAAACGAAATAGACACATAGTTAATCTATTTTAGTGGTAGATTCTGCGAAGCACTGCTCTTTCTAGCGCCAGTGTTAGGTGGGCTAACAGCGAATAATTAAAGGGAAAAAATCCATTGACGAAAGATTTGCATTTATTTTACGAATTATGTTTTATGTATGAATTCATGTAACAGAATAATTAAAAACATGAAAGAACTGCTCGTAATTAACGTTGCTTTTGCTTTATTTGTTTAATATAACAGTTTTATGAAGAATAATTTGAAATAATCTTTTCGAACGAATTACCTACACTAAGATGTTATTATTAAACTACTTACGCTTGAACGATCCAATCGTACTACCCACGAATATGTCTAACTGAGAATCTTCATTAACCACCATGCTTTCTATTAATTAACACCTAAATAAGTCTTGAATTCGATAAAAAATTATATTAAACAACATCACATGTGAGCGAAAATGTCAAACTGAATTTATGACGTTGACATTTACTTGATGAATTAGTTTCGTTTCACGCAAATGTTGGATCCTGAATGTAGTGTTAATAAATCCTTTTAATATTTTTAGGTAGAAGTAATTTATTCAAAACACTGCACAATAAAATTGTTTAATAATTGTTAGAAATCAGATTATTAGAGAATGAGAATTAATTAGAGCCATACTAACATTTAAATGATAAATTTGGTATAGTCCCCGGCACGTAACTTGGCAAGAGTCGCTAGATGCGCAGAAGTCGTTTTTAGGTCTGGTCTTGTCTTAGTCTTGGTCTTGGTTGTCAAGCGGGACGCGGGGAAAGATGTAGCACCGTTCCGAGCGCGCGATTGGTGAGTCAGTCGACCCTCCCCTCCCGCACCGCTCCCGGTTACACATGAGCCTACAAAGCTGTAGGAACCCTGTGTTTATATTTAGTTTTTGTTACGAATTGTTATTATTGTTTTAAATGTAGTTTTTGTTACGAGTGTTATTGTTTTAAGTTTGTTTGCAATGCCATGACCATATAGTCGATTCAGTCACTGAGCGTTTTATTATTTACGCCACTGACGACAGAGACTCTTCGTTATGTCGACGATGAGGAGTCAACTCCTTCCACCAGCTCAGGTGCTACCATAAATTTAATCCAAGGGGTAGCACTATTAGTAAATGATAGTGACGACGGCGACACATAATTTTTAATATTAAATATATTTTGATAATTATACTTCTTAACTTTTAATTGTATTTTATTTATAACACCTAATAAACTTCACGAATTCTTCTCTTTTCTTTAACTTTCTTCTAAACACACAGGCTTAAAAATAAATTAGGGCAAATAATAAATTTAATAAAATAAAATTATAATGTAAAAGTGACCATTTTTTTGTTGAAATGTGCACTATGCGCGACATTACCCCCACTACACCAAAACCTTGCCAACTTACGTGCCGCTTACTATACTGATCTTGGTAGACAAACGAGATGACTGCCCGAGTGTAGAATATCCGTTAGCAGAGCTTAAGGAGTTCAAGGAACTCAAATATAATAGCAATAGCAACATGACGGCTTATAATAAAAAAATCATATTTAAAGAAAAGTACTACCTATATTATTTTATTATTTCCAGAACACGTGGTAATTTTCTAGAAATAATATCGTTTAATACAAATCAAACTAGCATAAATAGTTTGAGTAATCCCTGGTGCCCGACTGGACGTCTTGAAGTCCAGACAGATAGGTCCTACCGCCCTATCTATTTCGGTCGTGTTGTCATGCGCGCTGATTTAAAAAAAAATGCTGTTCATATTAGAAAATTAAGCAATAGATCTCATTGGAGCAGTGGCGTAACGATCTAAGCTCGCGCCCGGGCCCAATACCTTTTTAGCACCAATTTTTCTTTTTCATTTACGAAATAACATTTATTATATCACACTGGGACTAAGTTTAAATTATATTTTTCAGAAATCAATTAAATAAATAAAAACTACAATTATTTAGCAGTTTTTTGTTTTGCGGACCATTTGGCGCCTCTTTGTGAGTAGCGCCCAGGGCATGATGCTCCTCCTCGCTGCATTGGAGATCGGCATTCACACACTGGTAGCTGATAAATTTATCGTAAAACTTAAATCTGGTCAACTTATACCTCGAAATAGGTCGTGAGCTAGTAAGTTCACCTTTCTTCTTCTCGCTTCGGTTTCCTCAATACTGAGGGTCGTGACCACCTCCTCGCAACAAGAGCTTATCGCAACGTGTCGGCCCTCTACCTCGTGACTGATTACTGATTTGTGAAAAAAGTGTAATGTGCCCGACAAAAATGGTTTTGAGAATAAACGTTCGAGAGAAATTGTCGGTCTTTCGGGGCCCCCTGAGAATGGGGGCCCTGGGCACGGGCCCCGTGTGCCCTTATTGTAAAGACGGTATTGCCTATATCAATAACTAAAATAGTTACACTGAAATCATTAGCTCATGTTCTTGTTAATGATCTGGTCGTCAATAAATTTTTCAAATATTTCTTATCTAAGTTCCCAGTGTCCCCGTGTATTAGGTAACAAGAGCATTAGCTCCAACATACACATATGAAGAAAACTAGCTTTACTCTTATGGTGGATATTCACCTAGCCGTGTAGCACGTAACGTATCCAGTGAGTACGTAGGCACGAGCCCGCTGCGAGCCGCTCGCGGAAGGAGCGCAGCAAGCTCGCAATGACCCGCCGAGTGGCGGTATCACTGCGAACACAAAGGCGGCTCGCAGTGTGCTCGTGGCAGCTCGTAGCTAGATACGCTGTGGACCGTGGACCAGCCGTACCCACTTGCTGGTTGATACAGTATCTGTCACGTTACGTGCTAAATAGCTAGGTGAGTAGGTACCCAGCTTTATATTTGGAATGGTTGAAATGATACACAATTTTTATTATAAGTTTTATTCAGTTCCTCGGTTTGTTCTCTTTGTCACTCCAGTCCCCGGACACGCTTTGTATGAGGTTCCACAGGGCATTGCTGTCGGCAGAGTCCACTTCGAAGGGTTGCAAAACCTTACGAGACTCGTTTTTTATATCTGAACATCGCTAAAGAAACTTTTATATCACTATTCGTCAATTACTCTAATTAGGCCAGCGGTTAACAAATCGCAGCTCGCGAGCCGCTTTTTTTAATACGCTTTTATTAGCTTCAGACGTATGTATGTTAGTATGTAACGGAATCTTTGAACATGATCTTGACCCCCTTCAAAACGTCGGATTAACTCGAAATTTGGTATACTTATTAATGACCAATGACAAAACAATATTTAAAAAAATAATGAAATTCAACTAAAAAATGAAAAATAAATATGTAATAGTTTAAAAAAACTAAGAAAATACGCTTTTATAGAAAATCTAAGTAAAAAAATAGAAAAAAAAACTCACAAATTTGAATTAAAAATAGTGTAAGAAAAAAATTATTATTGTAAAAAAAACGTAGGGTGCATGGTATCAGTAGTTATAAATATTTTATAAACAGATATGAGTAGAAGGGTTATTTTGATAAGCACCACACGCTTTTTTACAATAAAATAATTTTTTCTTACACTATTTATAATTCAAATGTGCGAATTTTTTTTTTCTATTTTTTACTTGGATTTTCTATAAAAGCGTATTTTCTTAGTTTTTTTTAAACTATCATTTATTTTTTAAGATCAAATAAGCAAAGGATTCATTTAGCTGTAAGTACATACAAGCAAACTATTTACACATGAAAAAGTTAAATTTTATTTTAGTGCTAAGTGCTCACTGGAGCTCATCACATGACATGTAGTTGGTGTTTCAACAATATTTGTGTCTGCTTTGTGTAGACTGGATCTCATTAACAGGATAGCTTTGGAGCAGAAACCGTCAAGATGATATTAGTCAAATAATTATATGAAAAGGATACATCCTTTGGAAATATTTGGGGGTGCACTAAAATCCAGTCTGACACCTGTCAACTCTTTCACTAGTTGNCTGGAGCTCATCACATGACATGTAGTTGGTGTTTCAACAATATTTGTGTCTGCTTTGTGTAGACTGGATCTCATTAACAGGATAGCTTTGGAGCAGAAACCGTCAAGATGATATTAGTCAAATAATTATATGAAAAGGATACATCCTTTGGAAATATTTGGGGGTGCACTAAAATCCAGTCTGACACCTGTCAACTCTTTCACTAGTTGATATGTTTCTCTGAAAATGAGAAGGGTATTATGAAGTCACAGTGACCTAAATGATAAGACTCCGGTGCATTGTTATTAAGCAACACCACTGTGCCGATCTTTACTTAACCCAGTAACACAGTATTTTTAACCCAGTATTTTTACTGGTGGTAGGACCTCTTGTGAGTCCGCACGGGTAGGTACCACCACCCTGCCTATTTCTGCCGTGAAGCAGTAATGCGTTTCGGTTTGAGGGGTGGGGCAGCCGTTGTAACCATAATTGAGACCTTAGAACTTATATCTCAAGGTGGGTGGCGCATTTACGTTGTAGATGTCTATGGGTTCCAGTAACCACATAACACCAGGTGGGCTGTGAGCTCGTCCACCCATCTAAGCAAAAAAAAAATTTATTACTTCCACAACAATTTTGTAAGTATAAAATCAAATTAAAAAGAAATTTGCAATTACTGGTGGTATTGCATCTTCTGAATCATACAAGGGAGAACCATCAACCAAATAGGCTATTTCTACTACGGTGCAGTAATGTGTTCTCATTTCAAGGGTATAGCTGTTGTACTAAAAAAAAACACACACTTCAAACTCATGTCACAAAGTGGGTGGTGGCATTAACATGGTTAATGAGCTATCGGTCCGAGAAACCACTTGACATCAGCTAGGCTGTTCTTCTAGCTTGTTATTCTATTATTGTTATTCTAGCTTGTTCACCTGTCTATGGATATTTGTTTTGTGCAATATTTTTTCAGAGGCAAGTAAGTATGCCACTTGGTGGTGAGTTATTACAATTGCTTGGACCTCAACCAATCTTATTCTGCAGATATGCATATACCACAGTGTGATGTACTTTTAAGGGGGCCAATACGAACCCTATCTTTACAGTAGTTGTTGAGAATTTTGAAACAATTATTTTTTTAGTGCCCTTCTCGGAAAATTGGCATACAGCGCACCTGATGGTGAGTGATTACCGTCGCTCACGGACATCAGCAATGGTAGAGGCAGAGCCAACCTGCTGCCTACAGTACTCTCATAATGAAGTTAATAATTTAAAATATTTACTTGGCATTTTCCAGTCTGTTCTTATCGCTATCAGCTATGGTGAGACAAGATTGAAGGCTGGCACAAACATTATCAAGCTCTCCTGAACGCCGGGACAGCTCTGCCAGACGTTCACTCAATTCATTCTGAAATATACCATAACATATTATCATAACATATAGTATATTTATATATGCCGCCTGGCTAGGTGGTGTGATGACCTCTGAACGGTGGCTGGCAAGAAGTGGATGAAGAGAGCCATAAACCAGGCTCAGTGGTGTGAATTGGAAGAGGCCTATGCCCAGCAGTGGACGACTGTGGGCTGTTGATGATGATGATGATGATGATAGTAATTAGTAACAAAACTAAATCACAACCGAGTTTGTCGCTGAATCTTCTCAGTGGGTTCTCATTTCGATCTAGTGGTAGATTTAGTAACGCACTGCTCACACTAGCTAATGTTAACAATTCTCTAAGATTGAACCTGTGAACTCAATCTACCAGTCTGCGCATAGTCAGAATAATCCTTAGGCTATCAACGATTACGTAAGAAAAAGGCAAAACAATTATAGATATGGATTCAATGAGATAGAACCAATATTAACAAATCATGTACGTTTTTATTCTTTTGTAATTTTTCAAATTGTTTATATTATGTAAGTGCTATTTACTAGTGGTAGACCTCATGTGAGTCCGCGCGGGTACGTACCACCACCCTACCTATTTCTGCCGTGAAGCAGTAATGCGTTTCGGTCTGAGGGTGGGGCAGCCGCTGTAACTATACTTGAGACCTTAGAACTTATATCTCAAGGTGGATGGTGCATTTACATCGTAGATGTCTATGGGCTCCCGTAAGGTGGGCTGTGAGCTCGTCCACCCATCTAAGTAATAATAATAAAATATCATAATGTCACAGCTGAAAAAAAAACAACACAAAAAGCAATAAAACTGTACTTACGTGTACTTTCGTTTCTTGGGCTAATTTCGTCTCTAGTTCAGTTTTCATTCGGCTAGCCTTTAATTGTTGCTGTTCTTTTTCAATTTTATCTACAAACATTTGGTAGAATTAAAAAAGCACTTTATAATATATTCCTTGTTTATCTGAAAACATTTGTTTCAATTACCATCAAGTGTCTTGAAGAAATTGTCGATATTATCAATTAGCACGGCACACCAATCTTCTGATTCCATTGTGTATTATTATTTGGAAATTCGTACTTTAAGATAACGACAAAACTTTTGAAATATTTTGAAATTTGTTTTTTTTTTAAGAATTAGGTTTATGAAAGCAAAGGGAATATAGCCAATACGATTATAGAATTTGTAACAAAGATTAAAGTCATACCAGTCATGTGTCAAAAGTGAAAAGAAACAAAAAACAATAGTAAATATTCGAGGTTGCTTTATGGCGTATCCGAATAAAGCGACCCTAGCGCTCAGTATCGGCAAGTAGCGGAATTACACTTAGTAGCCATTTTTGTGATGGCGGCTGATATTTATAGATCGTAGGGAGTGTTGTTTTTCAATAAATAAATGTGTTAAAATGGAGGAAACGAAAGTAATTTATTACATAGACGATGAAGAAACTCCGTATTTGGTTAAAATACCTATTTCACCCGAGAAAGTTACGTTATTAGACTTCAAAAATCAGTTAAACAGACCGAACTATAAATTTTTCTTTAAATCGATGGACGATGATTTTGGTGTTGTTAAAGAAGAAATAGTCGATGATAACGCTCATTTGCCGTGTTTTAATGGTCGTGTTGTGTCGTGGCTCGTATCCGCCGAGGGCTCGAACCCCTCAGACGGCGGCTCCCAGTGTACGGACAGTAACGCAGGCAAGACAAAACCAGCTCATGGAGCTCCAGCGGCGCCTCTCACGAGGGACACCTGTACGGATACGGACAGTACGATAAGCTCCCGACCGGGGCACAGAGCTTCCTGCGACAAATACAAATATAGGGGCCTCCGAATCAATGGACACTCGAAATTTGGCAATCATGGCCTAGAGTATGAGACTGCTTCGGTATTAAGCTCGGATTTAGACTCGACTAGCTTGTTTGACAGTCAATCTGAAATAACCAATACAACAGGTCGCCACACAAACGCTTCAGTAGACAGAGCACTAACAGAGTGTAGCAGTGTATCGCATCTTCAAGTGAGTTCGCGAAAACGACCTCAAAGACGGCGGAAAAGACCTCAAGTTATGTCCCGAACGTCATCGTACTCCTCGATCACGGACTCTACAATGTCTATGCACATTATCACTGTTACTTTAAATATGGACACAGTCAATTTTCTGGGGATCTCGATAGTGGGGCAGTCCAACAAGGGTGGGGATGGTGGAATTTACGTCGGAAGTATCATGAAGGGCGGTGCTGTGGCCCTAGACGGAAGAATAGAGCCCGGTGACATGATTCTGCAGGTAAGACTCATAATATTTACCTATCAACCATGACTATTAAAGTTGGCAAGATAAAGCTATCTAGAACTATGTAACAGAACTAGAACTCTGCTGGTAACAGGGAAACCTTTGTCAATGTTTGAAATTGTGATTATCATGGTGCTTATTCTTAATATTCTTGATTGTGCAAACACCTAAATGATAAAAGCTGGATAAAAACAAAACCTTAATGACCTTGTCATGGAGTGTAAGCTGGCTAAATTTCAACTGGGAGTTGCTATGGATTGATCAGATTTTAATTTAAATTTAAAATTAAGCTTGGTTAATCTAAAAGATAACAGGATTGATAAGAAACATTCACTAATAATCACTGAACAAAAGATTAAGATAAAAATAATGAACCTCTAAAAGGATAAATCTTATAATTTTGAAGGAGTTTTGTACTATTTAAATAACAGGATGATATTTTAGCAAAGGCATCTTACAATAGCTATGGTATTCTCATTTTCTGTCAGCATTGTCCATGTTTTAGCTTACTTGCTTATGAGTACTGGACCATAGAATCTGTCTTCATTTTACTTTAGCTTAACTTTTTTCTTATTGCCATTAGCCCACATTATCTGAAATGTGCAACATGTCCTCTTGTTGTGAGGTGGATCGCCTGTCCAACATTAACCTTCTATTTTTGTATCTCCATAGATTTGTTGTAACTTGCCATTGGGAGGTGCCCTTAACAATTTCTATTTTTGGTGTTTTTTTACCGCATCCATTTTGGGTTCTTCTTTGTCTTGTGTCACTCTTGATAGTGTGGTTGTGCTTATCATTTGATTGGTGTTTGTGGCAAGCTTCTCAACCTGCCACCACATTTCTCTGATAGCGGTCTCCTCGTTTAACTGCAGAAAATGTCCACAAATATCATACCATACCATAATATAGTAATTAGTAACGGTTAAGGTACAGACACTAATACCATTGTGATATAAAGATGTAGATGATGAGATCTTGAGATGCAGAAGTATATTGTATGTTACNATTTGATTGGTGTTTGTGGCAAGCTTCTCAACCTGCCACCACATTTCTCTGATAGCGGTCTCCTCGTTTAACTGCAGAAAATGTCCACAAATATCATACCATACCATAATATAGTAATTAGTAACGGTTAAGGTACAGACACTAATACCATTGTGATATAAAGATGTAGATGATGAGATCTTGAGATGCAGAAGTATATTGTATGTTACAATACCAACTCTATAATAATCATAAAATCTTAGTATTTTAAATACCTAAAAAGTAGATTGGAGTTTTTTGTATTGCTTAGATGGGTGGAGGAGCTCACAGTCCACCAATGTTTATTTATGTTTTTTTATTAGGCACACAATACACATTACAAACTAAAAAGATCGCCCCTTCTGGCTGAGCCCTTGCTTGCTAACCTGTCCTTGTGAAACTAGAAAGGCCTCCTGGCCACCAGTAAACTCTCAATCATAAAAAAAAAAACTAAAATCTATATCTATACTAATATCTATACTAATATTATAAAGAGGAAAGATTTGTTTGTTTGTTTGTTTCGAATAGGCTCCGAAACTACTGGACCGATTTGAAAAATTCTTTTTCCATTAGAAGCCGACATTGTCCCTGATGAACATAGGCTGCTTTTTTTTTTTTTTTTTTGTTTCATCTGTGTTTTAATGTTTCCGAAGCGAAGCGAGGGCGGGTCGCTAGTATATAATAAATAACAACAACAATAACAACTAAACGAGACAAATGTGCAGAGTTTGTACACAATGTTCCTTGCAACTATTGCACAAAACAACACGATAACGAAAACTAATTTAACTTATAATGTAATGAAATAGTTCCACTCACAATAAACACTAAACAGTACACTAAATAATCTATTATTTAACATAATCTTTTTCATACAACAATCAAGTGGATAAGAATCTGTGGAAGCAATATCATTGCATAGTATTTCAGTGTTGAAAAGAGAATATATATAAAAAAATGAATTGCTGTTCGTTAGTCTTGCTAAAACTCGAGAACGGCTGAACCGATTTGGCTAATTTTGGTCTTGAATTGTTGGTGGAAGTCCAGAGAAGGTTTAAAAGGTAGATAAATATGAAGATGCTCGGAATTAAATAAAAATAACAATTTTGTTTTTCCTTTGATGTGTCCCCCCTCAGACGGATTCCTTTGTTTGTTTTAAGTTTATTTTATACAAAAACTTATGTCTTTTATTTATCGGTTGAGGCACTACAAAGTCTGCCGGGTCAGCTAGTATAATATAAAGAACTACAGACCCTACTATTTTTCTATTTCAGGTCAATGATGTCAATTTCGAAGATATGACCAATGATGAAGCTGTCCGCGTGCTCAGGGAGGTCGTTCAGAAGCCTGGACCCATCAAACTGGTGGTAGCCAAATGCTGGGATCCCAATCCTAAAGGATACTTTACCATACCCAGAACAGAACCTGTCAGACCAATAGACCCAGGTGAGCCGGCGACGTTAAAATCTATATATATATGTAAAAATGAATTGCTGTTCGTTAGTCTCGCTAAAACTTGAGAATGGCTGGACCGATTTGACTAATTTTGGTCTTGAATTATTCGTGGAAGTCCAGAGAAGGTTTAAAAGGTGAAAAAATATGAAATTATATAAAAACAAACAATTTTATTTTTCCTTTGACGTGTCCCCCGTCGGACGGATTCCTTTTGTTTGTTTTAAGATTATTTTATGCAAAAGTTTAGGTCTTTTATTTATCGATGGAGGCACTACGAAGTCTGCCGGGTCAGCTAGTATATCACTAAATACTACAAAAATATGAAGTTTTTATAGAACCATCCGATCCACTTAGACTGCTATTAGTATAGACGCCTGCAGCTCTATTGCTAGAAGCAGGCTTAGGAATGCTGATATCCACTGAAACTCTTTAAACTCATTAAAGACTGTTAGTAGGCCTACTGATAACAGCAGCTCACAACTTACAGGAAAAATATGTCACAGATCATTTCCCAGCTAAATATAAATTAAAATCAAATGTAATCAATTTTAGTTATTTATTTATTTTTGTTGTCAATGCACTGTCGATTGCACCTATAATTGAGGTGACATCTGCCATGTACTTTTGTCAGTTTGTTGCTGCAACTAGATAAATAAATCAGTCCTCGTGAGTTTCTTGTAAGTAGTCTGCGATTCTGATCTGGTAGTAGATGCATTTGCAAATATCAAACACATTCTGAACACTCCCACACCAAAACAGTGTCCGCTAAATAGTTAAACATGGCAGAATAACAGTTTCAACAAGTAAATAATAATGTAGAATAAACTAAACTATATTAGCATATATTATTATTGCCAATAGTGGCATATATTAGCATGCCAATTATATAACAGTATGCCAATTATTGCCAATAGAGGCGTTTGCGCCCATATACACATGGTTCGGAGGCTCTGTATTGATCTGGAGCTCTACTCATACACGAATAGATCTCTGTCCTATATCTAGCCACCACCAGCCTCTACATGTCTATATGTCTATATTTGCAGGGGCATGGGTGGCTCACACGCAGGCCCTTCGCGAGGCGTATCCGCCGCCGCCTCCCTCGTTGTCCGCGCTGCCGGTGTCGTCGGTGTCGGAGCGCGGGGCTTCGGACGCCAGCACGGTCCCGGCCGGAGCCCTGGAGCCCCAGCTCTCGGTCAACATGGACATGGCTGTCGTCGTGAGGGCCATGCTGAGGCCGGATTCTGGTCAGTGTTAACTTAATATATAGTTAATATAATATAACTTAGACAATAAACTTTTTTGATTTATTCATTAATATTTAAATTAAGATATAGATATCATCTCACCCACCTATTATATACGATACTACTAGTCGAAATTCGGCTATAATTAATTAAACATTATTATAGTTCTATTGTCAAAGACTATTTATTATACTTTTATAATCACAGATTTCGCCAAGACTACACTTTAAACAAATAATATTAAAGACAAAAAATATTAATCTATTCTCAATTTGACCACAGACTTTAAGCAATAACAAAAGTTTGACCATAAACACAGAGTATATATATATATATATATATATTTATGTTTTGTGTCAAACACATGTTAGTGTGTGTAATTCTTTTTTTATTGAACTAAGTATTTTTTATGTATTACTAAAAAAAAAATATTACATTCCGCACTCCTCTATAATTCTATAAGTGTGGGAAATTTCATACTCCTCCGCTCATGCAAATTTCGTAAAAAGGGGTACAAAGTTTTTGCTTCACGTATATAAAATATCATTTAAGTTCCAAAAATAATATGATTCGTATACATGTTTCAGGACTGGAGATCCGTGATCGGATGTGGTTGAAGATAACTATACCTAATGCATTCATCGGTGCTGACATAGTGGACTGGATACTACAGCACGTAGCCGGGATAGCTGACCGGAGAGACGCAAGAAAATATGCCTCACATATGCTCAAGGTAAGAGAGAGAGAGAGTATTCTTTATTGCACACCAAAAAACAAATAAACAGTGCAATACATTAAACACAAAAAAGCACGATTGGCGGTCTTATCGCTAAGAGCGATCTCTTCCAGACAACCATCAGGTGGACAAGAATCATTTGGAAACGAACTAAGCGCTGGGTACCAATCCAGTGAAATACATATACATATACACATACATACATATCGACGCTTGAAAGGCAAACGTGACTAAGCGACAATGCGTGAACTTTACAGTAGACTAATTAAAAGTTGAAATACCTGAAAACAAAATTTATTTTAACGAATCTAGCTCGTAGTAGAATCTAGCTAGTAGCTGTAGGATTAAAATGATTTTAATAGACCTAGAAATATATATTTTTTGCCCATCGAATATGGTTATTGCCTATCATTTATGTACAAAGCAGTTATTGTTGCTTAGTCACGTTTGCCTTTCAAGCGTCGATATACATATATGTACACATACATATACACATACATATCTCCGTAAATATACATACAATTAATACACAATTTATTATAATATAATATGCGTATAATATAGTAAGCATTGTACCTCACACCCATGACCGTGTAGAGAGCTTTTCGTCACTTAGTATTCCAAGTTCTGTCAATATTGTGACATGTCATGCAAAAATTAGCTTTTTTTTTATGTACTAGGGTTTTTTATATTTTATTTTACCACCACCCTGTCTATTTCTGCCGTGAAGCAGTAATGCGTTTCGACTTGAAGGGTGGGGCAGCCGTTGTACTGTAAAAACTGAGACATTAGAACTTATATCTCAAGGTGGGTGGCGTTGTAGGTGTCTATGGAATCCGGTACACCACAAATATTTTTTGTAGAGTAATAATATACATGTATTATTTCCAGGCCGGCTTCATAAGGCACACGGTTAACAAGATAACGTTCAGCGAGCAGTGTTACTACGTGGCGGGCGCGGGCTGGCTGGGCGGCGAGCTGTCCTCGCTCAGGATACGTGCTGACGACGCTGACGTCAAGCCCCTCCCGGACCCAGGGTCGGTGCATGGACCGCATTGTGTACATTGTCATTGGAGACCGCAGCTATAGTGATACTTGGGGCTTGTGTCTCAAGGCGGGTGACCGCTCTTGTGTTGCTGATGTCCATCACCTAAGCAATAAAAATGATAGTAGTTGTCGTCGCCCATGGACAACAACAAAGCAGCTGGCTACTGGTGAAGTTCTAGAAATTTATTTGAATAAGGATAGGTTTTTTTTATTGCTTAGATGGGTGGACGAGCTCACAGCCCACCTGGTGGTTACTGGAGCCCATAGACATCTACAACGCAAATGCGCCACCCACCTTGAGATATAAGTTGTAAGGTCTCAGTATAGTTACAACGGCTACCCCGCCCTTCAAACCGAAACGCATTACCTACCCGCGCGGACTCACAAGAAGCCCTACCACCAGTGATTACGCAAATTATAGTTTTGAGGGTTTGATTTTTATTACACGATGTTATTCCTTCACCGTGGAAGTCAATCATGAACATTTGTTGAGTACTTATTTCATTGGAAAAATTGGTACCCGCCTGCGGGATTCGAACACCGGTGCATCGCTTCAACACGAATGCAGCGGACGTCTTATCTGTTAGGCCGCGACGACTTCACTCGCACTCTTGATTTATCACCAATTGGCACCGTCATGTGACTTACTAAGAATCCGTCATAATGTTCAGGGAACATTAAAAAGTTAGAACATTAGTTCATTAGAACATTAGGAAACATTAGAAAGAGTTCAGATCCCAGGGTCTTAGGGTGTGCTGGAACGACAATCAAAGTAGAATTAGACCGTACTCCAGTGACAACAACAATGAACCTACACATGTCACATGTTTTAATTGTAATTTTCTTTATTGCGCAGCCTCATGGCCCCAGGATACGTACCATATGCTGGCTCGTATGGCTACCAGCCCATACCCTTCAAGTATTCCTGTGCCAACAGCGAACACACCATATACGGGTGAGTCAAGCGTTGAGAGGAATGAGTGGAGGCAAAATGTTGCCATACGTATAAACACCATGCCGGTTCAGCTAAGCTGTGTTTGTTTTGTATTGATATCAGTATGGAGGGTAGAATTAAGAGGACTTTTTGGCCGGAACGCGAGGAGTGAAGTTGTGTGATTTGTTTTATTTTGTCTATTTAGGTTTCTTCGGGTTTAAAAGTGTAATAATGGTGGTTTATTAACTGTTTACTGTATCTGTGGAAGTGCACAAATGTGGGAAAATAAAACTAAGCCGCTGAATGTAACTTCTCGGGCTCCTCCAAAAAGTCCACTGAAAAAGTCTCAGTAAATGACCACCATTTTACTGAGATTTTATTTAATCCCTTAACATCTCATCTCATTTCATTTCATGTCATGTTTCATATTAATCAACTTCATTTCATGTCATAATATCATCTATACTAATATATAAAACTACAGTGGTTTTCACGGATGTTCCGTTATAACTACTGAACCATGCATCCGATTGACTTGAAACTTGGTATCCATGTAGAAAACACATGTACTTAATGAATAGGCTAATATTTATATGAGTGTTGGACTCCCTACACCAGTTGCGGGGACGTTAATTATGAGAATCTTTGTGGGGGTGAGAAATAATAAAGCTAAATTTAAATGCCCAGCGAAGCAGATGGGTACAGCTAGTTTTTCATAAAAAAAAAATCATTAAAATTATAATCAGACTTACCTAAAGGTCTTAGTTACCAGGTCATAAAATCCTATAAAAAATAGAATTAAGAGCGCCATCTAATATTGGGAATAAGTTGAGAAAGTGTCCATATGTAAACAGCGCGCTATTGTTGCAAGACTAACCCAAATAGCGCTAGTGTAGGAAGTGGAAATGATATGTATATAGCAGTTTTAAACAGAGCGAAATGTAATAGCTTATGGCGTTGTTTCTAAAATCTCTCCACTTGCTACTGTGGCGCCATCTTTCAAAGGACCCTTTAATACACTGAGATGGTTCTTCTACCCTCCATGTGTGGAGGGTAGAGGTAAGGAAAACCGTCTCATATGGGAGATGCTTGAAAAAGTGTCCCACTTTCACCACTAAATAACAGTTCAAAAATCCTCCAGAATGGCGCTAGCATAGGCACAGGGTGTGATATGAATTGAGCAGTTGTTAACTGATTGAAGTATGCTGAGTTAGGAAATTTAATATATTTAATGACTAGAGTAGTTAGTGACAGTGTAATGTACAAGACCTCACACGTTTACGTAGTCCAAACTAATTTTGTCAATATAACCTAAAATTATTGCTGTGGTAAATCGCGGAGACATCGATTGCATTTACTTATCAACTTTAAATAAAATACTTTTTGTGATTTTGTAGTGCTTACAGATCTCTCGTCCTTTTTTATTTATCTATCTTATTCTAATAACTTTCAGCGCTTTTATTAAATTTACCCGGTTGCTACTGTAGCGCCACCCTTATTTAGCAGATTTTAACGGACACTTTTCACACACAGAGACAGTTCTCCTTACCTCTACCCTTCATAGCTCCATGGATATTAGGAATGAATCAATATCACGGACGTTAGTGTGTGGCACGCTGAGAGAGAGAGAGAGAGAGAGAAAGAGCCTACAGGAATGAGCAGGATAGACGACAGTAACATAGTCAAGGCCTACCTCAATGGTCATGTTGACGTTCTGTCGTCAGGTACAACCGAGAAGAGTCCGCGGTGTCGGGCAGCGGGGGCTCGAGTGGGGGCTCGGAGCGCGGCGCGGGGGGCGGCGGCGGTCCGGGGGGCACCGGGGGGCCCACGCTCGACGAGAGGAAGTCCTCCTCGTCCGGCTCGCGCTCCTCGCCGCGGCCCGCCGACAGGCCTGTGCTCTTCCTATAACGGTCAGTGTACTGCGCGCTGATTAGCGATCAGCTGATCACCCACACACGTACGCACGCACATGCACGCACGCACATGCACGCACGCACATGCACGCACGCACGTGCACGCACGCACACGCACGCACGCACACACGCATACACGCATGCACATATACACGCACATACACAGACGCACATACACACGCACACACACACACACACAAACGCACACACACTTAAAAATTCTTACACGCAATGTAACACAATTAAAAATAGACCAAGACGTGGGGTCGAAGACCTCTAGGGTCTTTGCCCTTTCGTTACATTGCGGGCTGGCGGATATGAACTCACTTGAACTAGTAGTAATAGTATATTTTTTTATTTTTATTATTCAATAGACCTCTGAGGAATATAGCGGCTCGGGTGTTAAGATGATAATACTGCATGTGGCAACATGATTGGATGAGGTCGACATTTTCAATTTTCATTCTTATAATTGCCCCGCCCTTCAAACCTGAACACATGGTTGCCTCGCTGCAGATATAAGCACTAATAGTGTGAGCGCTAATTCTCACGAAAGCTCACAAATACTCACGAATGCTCACAGGTGCTCACCGTCTAATGAACGCTAATATCAGTGTATTATTGTTACAGGACCCAGTTGTGATCCCGCCCGCGCCGGCTGGGAGCGTTTCTATGAACACCGCAGATGCGGTGGTAGCGTTGTGAACATATTTGTATACATGTCACCTAATGTTATATGAGTATATCCGGGGAAGTTTATCGGTACGATACAGGTCGTGTAAATAAATTTTAAGAGATAATTATTAGCGTTTGACTCGGACCTCGTGTCTCAAAGGTTGTGGTCCACGGGCCCCGGTGCAGTTGATAATGTCTTCGATGATCACACTCCGGGCTGTGCTTAGGATGAGAATGTACAAGTTTGTACAACCCTTGATTTTTAATTACCAGATAAATTTTGGGAGTGACGTGGAGGGGGAAGCTTAGTGACGACGTGTTGATGTCCACGGGCGACAGTGAGATAATCTAATAACTCATTAATACTTTTGAAATCAATCACAACGTGGCTAGTAGTAGACTGCAGATAGCTCGTCCGCTTTGGCCCCAAATGACGTCATATGTTAGGAAGTCGAGTCCAGGTGCGATTGATTAAGGTCTTAAACAAATTCTATAGTCTTAATATCAATGATTGGATTGCTCGGTGCTTTTGTCCGGGATCCCCGTTGCGATGTAAACATTACGACCTCCTTCGAAGTTGAACTTCTGTTCGCGACGAACTCGCGCGCGTGCTTGTACACTAACATAACGATGGTCACGTACAATTAATTGTATGCGTGTTGGATAAATACGTTGTAAGTTGATTAGTGAAATATTTGAGTTACCCTCCAGAAGTGCATCTTCTCACGTGCGCACATCGCAATTTTTTTACCATCGCATCTGCTCGTCCTCATGGTTCATAATCATAATTCAGTTACACTCCAGAAGTGCAACTTCTCACGTGCGCACATCGCAGATAAGACTTCTCGAAACAATCGCATCTGTCCATACTCATGGTTGGATCTCGGAAGAGTTCTGGAAGATTCTTCCACCGTTTCCCTCGTCAGCCACGGTCGCTTCTGTTTTTGGTAATTAAAAAAATTTATATTCCATTGGGACACCGAGTTGTCCTTGTAGTTTGAGCTATTGATTGACATGTCAGAACGGTACTGACATGCGACAAGTCTGATTTGACGATTTCGAACGTTAGTTACAATTGGCAGCGATGATTATTGTTAATATTTAAGAGTACGTGCCATTTTATTGTATTATTATATTTGTTTATATTTTATTTTGAAAAATTTTCTTTGAGGTCGGACCGCGCTCATTGCGGCTGTCCATGGACGCATTAGTCTCTTAATTGTAGGTTTTTTTAATTGCTTAAATGGGTGGGCGGGCTCACAGTCCACCTGGTGTTAAGTGGTTACTGGAGCACATAGACATCTACAATGTAAATGCGCCACCCACCTTAAGATATAAGTTCTAAGGTCTCAGTATAGTTACAACGGCTGTCCCGCCCTTCAAGCCGAAACGCATTACAGCTTCACGGCAGAAATAGGCGGGGCGGTTGTACCTACCCGCGCGGAATCACAAGAGGTCCTACCACCAGTAAAAATCAGCTAAAAAATCAACTATCTTATACAGTTCTGTTGGGGCGATTGGTGAGCTCACCCGACCAGCTACCACCGTCCTGCCTGTTTCTACCACTAAGCAGTAATACATTGCGCGCTTGACAGCTCAGCTGTAACACAGAATTGAGACGTAGACCTCATTGTCTCAAGACAGATGGCTCGTTTGCCGACAAATATTTATTCATTAGGGGTGATGCATTTACGTTGTAGATGTCTATGGGCTCCAGTAACCACTTAACACCAGGTGGGCTGTGAGCTCGTCCCACCCACCTAAGCAATAAATAAATAAATTGTCCGTCTATAATTACTGCTGTAAAAATCCTCTGTAAGATTTTCCTAGTTTTTTTCTATAAGTCGATTAAAATCATTATATTACAACATACAATTACAATTGTTTTATAGAATGTGGAAAATTATGTCTTACCATTTCTGTGAGGGTATTAAAACAAATTTTTTATCGTTTTCAATGCTCCCAATAAATTGATTTAGAACAATTCCTTCGGAGAAGCTTTACAAGCGTAAGCTCAGTTAAAGCTGGCTTACAATGAGAGCGCGGCCTCAACTATATATGTATTTATCTTTATATAATATTTCCTGACCCCCTTGTGCGCCATATATTGTACGTATTAAAGATTAAATAATTAATTGTAGATAATTTATTTTTTTTAAATGCTAATTTCATTGTCGGTATTAATTATTCGTGACTATGAAGTCGGTCACAAACTTTTGAATATAATCGATTTTTAACGATATTTCGATTAGTAGGGATGTCCACGTAGTCGATGTTTGAAGACCTAAAGAGTCGAGTTTTTTTTATCGATATCTTTTTTTATAGCGTTTAATCGAGAATCAGCAAGTGTTGGTACATTTTATTTATGTTTTTTTTTTTTGTAAATTCCTAAAAACGGAGTCATATAGACTTGCAACATGATGCGAGACCCCAATATTGTTTGTAATTACAATTTTAATATATCCGAAGTTACGACAATATTTTTTTTACTTTGGAGGGTAGTAGTAAGGGGCACGATCCAAATGAAGTTGAGTCAATGAAGGTGGCGCCACAGTAGCAAGTGGAGAGATTTTAAAAACACACTAAACTACCACACCTCTCTCTGTTTAAAACTGCTATATTCATATCGTTTCCACTTGCCACACTAGCGCTAGGTCGATTTTTTTTTACCCTACCTATGCCGATAGCTTTGAGAGGATATTTCAGCTTCTTGATGTAGGCGAGCTCACGGGACTCAAACCGGGAGTGTTGCTAACACTGACCCTAGCAAGAGCAGTGCTTCGCAGAATCCTACCACCGGATCGGAAACGCGACCCACTGAGAAGATCCGGCGAGAAACTCAGTGGGGCCGTGTCTATGGGTCTATGTCGAGGAGTCTCAACAACAGCTCGCTGTGTACAGACGGACATTTTTCCAAATTGTCCCCTATACAAGATGGCGCTCCTTACATCTACCCTCAATAATTTTGTTTCGTTAATTTTAATGTGCCAACATGTATAGTATTTTTTATTTTATTTGAGGTCTATCGGCGTTTGACTCGTAGTGATTAAAAATGTTCTCACATCAAAGAATTTTATTATTAAAAAGAAAACCCCAAGATGTGGTTTAATGGTTTTTAATCATTTACGTCTTAAGAAAGGAAACTTGTTCGAAGTTAATCGATATATAAATAAATATTACTGTATATTGAATGTAGCGTGTAAGATGAATGGTAACCCATCTTTTAGTGGTCCGTAGCGACCGTCGCTTGACCTTTTTAAGCTTATAACGTAATCTATGAATGTAATTATGTGTATCGATAATGTTAAATAAACAAATTTCAATTGTGTGTGGTTTTTTTTATTGTTTTTGAAGTGATAACTTTTACTGGTGGTAGGACCTCTTGTGAGTCCGCGCGGGTAGGTACCACCGCCCTGCCTATTTCTGTCGTGAAGCAGTAATGCGTTTCGGTTTGAAGGGTGGGGCAGCCGTTGTAAGTATACTTGAGACCTTAGAACTTATATTTAGGATTTACGTTGTGGATGTCTATGGGCTCCAGTAACCACTTAACACCAGGTGGGCTGTGAACTCGTCCACCCATCTAAGCTATAAAAAAAAACCTATGTTTGGAGTGAACATAATGGAATTGGTTATCATATATGACCGCGGCGTCGCGAGCGGCCTCTTGTCGCCGCGGGCAGAACCACCGACAAGAAGCACGAGGCGCGCGGCTGCTCGCGTCACCGCGGGCGGGCGGCGGCTGTGTCGCGACCTTTTCTAGCTTTTCAAGCGATACTGATCTTTTAAGTATATAGATAAAGTTTAAAATCATTTCACAGTTAAACTGCTCGCCGCGACGCTGCCGGCCGCTGCCATTCCGGTGTGACTCGGCCCTAATGCGTTTCGGTTTGAAAGGTGGGGCAGCCGTTGTAACTATACTGAGACCTAAGAACTTATGTCTCAAGGTGGGTGGTGCATTTATGTTGTAGATGTCTATGGGCTCCAGTAACCATTTAACAGCAGGTGGGCTGTGAGTTCGTCCACCCATCTAAGCAACAAAAAAAAAATTAAGGAAGGGTAAACCGCTTCATTAGGTAATGTGTTATGGCGTCCTTTCTCTCACGCATACGGCAAGGGTACTGATAACGTATGTATCTCGTAACTATTCATATATATTTTTCACTTTATGTTACAATTTTCCCGACATTATCATATTAATATACACAAAATTTAAGTAATAACCTAAGTATTACTCAAGTTCAACAATATTAAATAGTTCAATTTAGACTTCTGTTGAAGTTCCGAGACGCACTTTTTTTTTCGTTATTCGACATTCAGAATGAATGATAAATTGCTCTATAGTAGAATTATTTTGTCCGTGCAGTTTGGGTCATAAACCATAGCCCGGCTAGGGCGGTGAGCATGTTGCGTGGGCGCAACGCCATTATCGATAAAAACAAATGAGTCATCGAAGGCAGGTACACGACGGCGGGGTGATTTACGAAGAGTGGTGAGACATTGTTATGTTATGAGTCATTTGTTGTACTTAACTGCAAATTATAGTACATAATGTCGAAGAGAAATGTGTTTTTATGCATTCGCTCTCTGAAATTCTTTAGTGACACAATGGCTACTCCTTTGTTTTGTACCAAAACGGCAGAATTTATTCAAAATAATATTTGCACGCGTTGTTATCAACAATGTGTTAAATTTTTCACTGAAATGAAAATATTTCCCGATAAGTTACAAAGTGTTAATTTCTGCCGTTCTCGTTAACTTGCTGCGGCGATATGTGGTGTGAGTGTTCGATTAATGATTTTTACTTTCATTTTTATCACTAACCCACAAAATGACAAAACTAAATACACTATCGATAACGCTTATCGACGACAATAATGCGCATCACTATGCCCGTCCATAAGGCTCGTGAGTGGAACAGAGAGCGAAATACTCGCTTCACCGCGCCGATTATTTATGACCAAAATTGCACGGACAAAATAATTCTACTATAGTTGTCATAGAATGCAGGAACGTAATTAGTGAGAGTGGAGTCTATGGGTATCTAGATGTAAGTGCTTACGTTCAGCCGACAAGTTTATATTCCAATTCTATTGTTATATTAAAGTTAGTAGCTTATAAACGAAAAATACGCGTGCTTATTGTAACGCCGCCGCGCCGGTAAGATTAACGCCATCTATCGTCGAATAGCAAAAACGAATATCAAAAGAACTAGTAACGTCGAGAACGCTCGGGAAGTGCAACGCCATCTATTATCAAACAGCGGAAACACATCGAAACGACTGGTCTTGCCGAGAATCTTCTCGATAATTGTAGAGATGTCGTATCGACTATAAAAACGTTGCAGATGTGACACGAAGGCAGCTAATAAGTGGTCCTACTCGAAGCGAAACAGCCAACGGATCACCTGAAGCGAAGCGGAACAAGTTAATTAGTAAGGTGTTATAAGCGCTTAATAGAGTTTTAATTTGTAATTTGGTGCTAGTTTTATTTATTCTGAACCCCAGCGCGTAATATTATAAAGCCAACAGAACTAATACCTAATTCGTTTTTTATACTCTTTTTTTTTTCTGGTCTGGGTCTTAGTGAAGTTATAGACTTATTATGTCGTCATCACAAAAACAGTAACGTTTACCAATGGCTCGTAAAATGTCTGTTCATACATAAATTAAACAAAAGGTATCGTTAGGGAAGTTATTTATTGAAAAATATACAAGTTAGATCTTTACATTATAGTTATAATTTTAGAATTGAATGAAAATTAAAAAAAAAATAAGCGTTTTATGACCTGGTAACTAAGACATTTAAGTCATATCTTATTTTAATTTATATTCTTATATTTATGAAAAATGATAATATGGAGTGAAATGAAATGAAGATGATTAATTTGAGACATTAATCAACTGGGACGAAATTAGATGAGATGATATGGGATAAAATATAATCTTAGTAAAATGGTGGTCATTTACTGAGATTTTTTCAGTGTAGTTTTTGGAGGATCCCGCGTAGTTACGTCCAGCGGCTTTGTTTCAATTTCCCACAATTGTGCACTTTCACAGATATTAAACGGTTAAAAAACCACCATTATTACACATTTAAACCCGAAGAAACACTAAATAGACAAAATAAAAAAATCACACAACTTCACTCCTCGCGTTCCCGTCAAAAAGTCCAATGAAATTTACATTCGCAGTGGGAGCAATAGTATCACACAGAGTTCCTTAAATTAATTTAATTATTTAAAATCCGA